TGACGAGTCCCGAGGGCCTCAGAATTTTTTCTATAGAAAAAACTCCAGTTCCGAGGGCCTCAGAATTTTTTCTATAGAAAAAAAGACGAGTCCCGAGGGTCTCAGAATTTTTTCTATAGAAAAAATTCTGAGGCCCTCGGGATTTGAGTTTTTTCTATAGAAAAAAGACGAGTCCCGAGGTCCTCAGAATTTTTTCTATAGAAAAAAGACTAGTCCTGAGAGCCTCAGAATTTTTTCTATAGAAAAAAGACGAGTCCAGAGGGCCTCAGAATTTTTCTATAGAAAAACCAGTGAGCGGAGCAGTATAGTCGGACGGGGCCGACCATACGATACCCTACACAACTACCACGGAACTCAAATTTTCTGCGGATGTTTATTCCGAGACTGGGCAATATTTCGTGATATTTGCCCCTTCTTCCTCACATTGACATATTTTCCGAATATTACCAGTATTCAGTACATCTATTGTCCAGATTCCCTTCACCGTGAGTTGTGTTGTGATGTTCGGCTTTCATTTGAGGTCTATAGATCGACTCGAAAATAACACAAAAAATTAAGTTTTCGGTCCACTTCATTCCAAAATTATTAACTGATCAGCACCGAAAATTATAGGCGTTGTCCTTGACCATAACTGGAACCTCATGGAACATTTCAAAGCGATCAGCGCTATAGTTCCGCTCTCCAGAGTGATAATGGGTTACTAAATAATATACGAATATGGAGATACCTGTAAATATTTGGGTGTAACTCCCACATCCGAGCACATACAACAATATAATTGGTCTTAATTTAAAGGTCAACCACTCCTCTTGGATATAATATCAACTTCTCGGGTATATGTCCTTCAGGGGTAAATATATACGCCATAGAATACAAATTTTGTCATTTTTCACACAAAAGTCAGGGTCCATTTGACCCGCTAAATATTGACCGATCTTTCTCCAAACAGGCATGCTTTTTCTTTGGCCCGTTCCGCTTCTCCATGCAAAATTTCACGATGTTCGGACCATTGTTGCGGCCTCTGGAGCGACCAGAAAAACCGATAAAAATTAAGTATTTGGTCCATTTCATCCCCTAAATATTAACCGATCTTTCCCAAAAACAATAGGGGTCTTCATTGGCCAGAACCCATCCTACATGCAAAATTTCGTGAAGATTGGTCCATAACTGTGGCCTGTATCGTGTTTACAAATTATAATGGACAGACGGACGGACGGACGGACGGACGGACACACATGTCTAGATCGACTCAGCTAGTCGAGATATGACGATCGGTATACTTAAAGGTGGGTCTAGGACCAATATTTCGCAGCGTTACAAACTTGTGGGGCTGCACAAAGCTATAATACCCTGACAACATAGTTGTGTAGGGTATAAATACGAGTCCCGAGGGCCTCAGAATTTTTTCTATTAAAAAAACTCAAATCCCGAGGTCAAAAAACTCAAAAAAGACGAGTCCTGAGGGCCTCAGAATTTTTTCTATAGAAAAAAGACGAGTCCTGAGGGCCTCAGAATTTTTTCTATAGAAAAAAGACGAGTCCTGAGGGCCTCAGAATTTTTTCTATAGAAAAAAGACGAGTCCTGAGGGCCTCAGAATTTTTTCTATAGAAAAAAGACGAGTCCTGAGGGCCTCAGAATTTTTTCTATAGAAAAAAGACGAGTCCCGGGGGCCTCAGAATTTTTCTATAGAAAAAAGACGAGTCTTGAGGGCCTCAGAATTTTTCTATAGAAAAAAGACGAGACCCGAGGGTCTCAGAATTTTTTCTATAGGAAAAATGACGAATCCCGAGGGCCTCAGAATTTTTTCTATAGAAAAATGATGAGTCCCGAGGGCCTCAGAATTTTTTCTATAGAAAAAATGACGAGTCCCGAGGGCCTCAGAATTTTTTCTATAGAAAAAATGACGAGTCCCGAGGGCCTCAGAATTTTTTCTATAGAAAAAAGACGAGTCCTGAGGGCCTCAGAATTTTTTCTTTAGAAAAAAGTGGAGTCCCGAGGGCCTCCGAATTTTTTCTATAGAAAAAAGACGAGGCCCGAGTGCCACAGAATTTTTTCTATAGAAAAAATGTGAGTCCCGAGGGCCTCAGAATTTTTTCTATAGAAAAAAGACGAGTCCCGAGGGCCTCAGAATTTTTTCTATAGAAAAAAGTCGAGTCCCGAGGGCCTCAGAATTTTTTCTATAGAAAAAATGTCGAGTCCCGAGGGCCTCAGAATTTTTTCTATAGAAAAAAGACGAGTCCCGAGGGCCTCAGAATTTTTTCTATAGAAAAAAGACGAGTCCCGAGGGCCTCAGATTTTTTTTCTATAAAAAAAGTCGACTGCCGAGGTCCTCTGAGCCCCTCAAGGGCTTCAGAATTTTTTCTATAAACAAAAAACCGGGTCCCGAGGGCCTCAGATTTTTTTCTATAGAAAAAAGACGAGTCCCGAGGGCCTCAGATTTTTTTCCATAGAAAAAAGACGAGTCCTGAGGGCCTCAGAAATTTTTCTCTTGGGACTCAAAATTGTTTCTATAAAAAAAAACTCGAGTCCCGAGGGACTCAGAATTTTTTCTATACAAAAAAGAGGACCTCAGAATTTTTTTCTATAGAAAAAATGTGAGTTCTGTGGGCCTCAGAATTTTTTTTATAGAAAAAAAATGTGTCCTGCTGCCCAGAATGTTTGCTATAGACCTGAGAACCTCTTTATTTGTCCTCTGATGATTTGTATCCTTTTCTTTGCAAAAATCCTCCTTAATTTCGACCTTGTAGCGAAATTTTTATTGGCCTCCTTGGAAAAAATACACAAAATTTAATTAACGTGGTGTTTACGTCATGTCAAGTTCCAAAGGACATGGCTCCATCTGTTGTAGGCCCTTAATTTTCATCATCGTCGTCATCATCCACACCTTGTTATTGAATTCCGAAGAAATAAGAACGAACCACAATCTTACATGCCACCAGTCGCTTGTTGAATGACATGCCAGCCAGGACATGGGGTCCTTTTATGACTTCTTCCAAACCTTGTGCATTTCAATTCGGCCATGTTATTGGAAACGATTTATTTGTGGCAATGCAATACAACTGAGTCAATTTTTGGGGGGGTTACCCCCAGAATTGCATGACATTTTATGGTTTTGTTTGCAATGACCGTAACATACAGGATGTTTGCAGAAAAAAATGCATGAACATGCATGCATACCTACATGATGTAGTCGATTTTTTTTCTGCTGAATATTTCATATTGGCAAGGTCCTGTGAAGGAAAAATAATGGAAAAAATTTAGATAGGTTGTAGGGGGGAAGGAATGTTGGAAACCAACTCTAAGTTTGGGGAGAATGAGAGCCAGAAAGGTGTCCTTGTTTGGTGTTTGATGCCCTCCAAAAATTGCTGATTACAATTGTTTACAAAAGTTGTTAAAATGTCTGTTTTTTCTATTTTTCAATTTCGGACTATAGTGCGTATGATTTATTTTAATTATGGGTAGTTTTGTTATTTTCCCCATAACTTCGTTATTTGTAAAGCAAATTCAATTTTTCTTGTGGCAAATTGAAGAAAACATTCCCAGAAAAAATACAAAATTATTGAATATACAATAAAAATTGATTAGAAATATAAAAAATACAAGTTTTCAAAAAAAAGTTATTTTCACAAATATAAATTTTTTAACTAATTCGTTAGATGAAGTTGAAACACCCTGATGGACCCTATGAAAATTTATTTTACTTGAGAAGGGTTTTACTATCAAAATATGTAAATAATTTAAGCTGTAGAAGCTATTTAATGTCCGGTACCATAGTGCGTATGATTTATTTTAATTATGGGTAGATTTGTTAGTTTCCTCATAACTTCGTTATTTGTAAAGCAAATTTTATTTTTCTGGAGACAAATTAAAGAAAACATTCCCAGAAAAAATACAAAATTATTGAAACCCCCATTAAATTTTTTTTGGATACATAAAAAATTTATAAATTAAAAAAATATATTTTTACATTTATAAATATTTTTATTTTTTCCATAGATGAGGTTGAAACTGTCGGATGGGATCTATAAAAATTAGTTTACTGTTGGAGGGATTACAATATGTCAATTATTATAGATTTGGGAAATATTTTAAGTTTGGTACCATACGGCGTATGATTTATTTTAATTATGGGTATTTTTGATATTTTCCTCATAACTTTTTTATTTACAAAGCAAATTCTATTTTTCTGGCGGCAAATTAAAGAAAACATTCCTAGGAAAAATACAAAATTATTGAAACCCCTATAAACGTTTTTTGAATACATAAAAAAATTAAAAATTTCAAAATCTGTTTTTCTTATTTAAAATTTTTCTATTATTGCGATAGCTAAGGATTCAACTCCCTGATGGACTATATTAAAATTTATTTTACTTCTGAAGGGGTTTACATTCACAATATGTCAATTATTTTAGTTCCTGGAGCTATTTAAAGCTCGATACCATAGTGCGTATGATTTATTTTAACTTTGGGGTATATTTGGCATTTTCCTCATAACTCTTTTATTTGTAAAGCCAATTCAATTTTTCTGGTGACAAATTAAAGAAAACATTCCTAGAAAAAATACAAAATTATCAAATACGCAATAAAAATGTGAAATTTAAAAGAAAAATTATTTTTTTTTTAATTTTTATTTTGTCCATTTTGGCTGGTGGCAGTCATGCCTTTTTGTTTATTTTGTGAACCATAAAAATGCTGTTATCGATCTTTATGCATTTTTTTAATGGTATAGACAACAGTTCTATAGAGAATAGTTCTATGAGATTAAATGGAGACACTCCAAAGGTTTCCAAACCCTTGGAAATTACAAAAATCTAGATTTGTTTAATTAAGGCCCTAGTCATTTTTCTACTTTTGTCATGAGAAGCATTTTTGGAGCCTTTGTCGGATAAAGGACCTTTGAAATATATCTTTAAATTTTATTTAAATATTATTTTAAACTTCCATACCTACCCCGGTCTTTGTATGTTTTTAATTTTTATTTTGTTTTTTTTCCCTTCTAGAAACACCACTATGGCTGCTATTACAGGTTGCACCGATACGCAACGAACGGGATTTGGTTGTATTGTTCCTGTTAACATTTCGCGATATTACCGCCCTCAAACAACCGATCGACAGCGAAGATACCAAAGGTGGTAAGTAAAACATAAACAAAAACCTATAAAATCGTCTACCTTTTCATGTTTCTTCTTGTAAATATAATTCTTCTCTATGTGCGTGCGTGTGTTTGTTATTTTAAAGTCTATATTTTACAGATTTACTTAGCAAAAAAATAAATAATAAATAAAAAAGACATTGGAACCTCTTGCAAGGAAAAAACTCTCCTATGGAAAACCAAAAAAAAACTTTAAGAGTAATGGGTTTTTGGTATCCTATCCCACCCCTCTCAAGTGGTTCCATTGTGTCTAGAAAAAAAGTGTATATAACAAAAATATTATGTACAAAGAACTCACATATATATCTATATACCCAACACCACTGTGTAAGCCCTCAATGATAGACTTTGATATTGAAAAAAATCGAAGTCCCTAGCTCCAATGCTTTGTCTGATTTTCTTTATTTTTATCTACAAACTATAGTGCGTATGATTTATTTTAATTATGGGAATTTTTGTATTTTCATCATAACTTCGTCAATTGTTAAGCAATTCAAATTATTTTTGGGTCAATCTAAAGAAAACATTCGCACCAAAAATACAAAATTAATAAATACATAATATAAATTTATATGGTGTCCAAAAATAATTAAAATTTATAGATTTTTTATTATTTTTTTTTTTTAAGTTGTAGATATTTTATCTTCTTTTCCACATTCCGAAGGTTCTATTGCTCATTTTGAAATTATTTGACTTAAGAAGATTTTTGGAGATACGATTTGTTTGTTATTTTTGATAAAGTCGGAATTTTAAGCGTAGTACCATAGTGCGTATGATTAATTTAAATTATGGGTAGTTTTTGTATTTTCTTCATAACTTCGTCAATTGTTAAACAATTCAAATTATTTTTGGGTCAATCTAAAGAAAACATTCTCAAAAAAAATATAAAATTATTAAACACAATACAAATTCGTATGGAATTTTAAAATAATTAAAGTTTACAGAATTTGTTTACTATTTTTTAGGTTGTAGATTTGATTTTATTTTCTTTTCTATATTCAGAAGATTCTATGACTCATTTTAAAATTATTTGTTATAAGGAGATCTTTAGCGATACGTTTTAATTATTATTTTTGGTAAAATCCCAATTTTAAGCATAGTACCATAGTGCGTATGATTTATTTTAATTATGGGTATTTTCCATATTTTCTTCATAACTTCGTTAATTGTTAAGCAATTTAATTGGTTTTTATGGCAATTGAAAGACAAAATTTGAGCCTAAAATACAAAATTACTTAATACACAATATATAAGTATGTAGAATTAAAAAAGAATAAATTTTATAGGAATTTTTTATGATTTTTTTAGTTATTTGAAATAGTTGAAATATTTTTTCCATATTCCGGAGATTGTATGGCTCATTTTAAAATTATTTGACATAAGGAGACCTTAAGCGATACTTTTTGATTATTATTTTTGGTAAAATATCAATTTTAAGCATAGTACCATAGTGCGTATGATTTATTTTAATTATGGGTATTTTTTGTATTTTCTTCATAACTTCGTCAATTTTTAATCAAATGAGCTGGATTTTATGGCAATTGAAAGGCAACATTCGCACCAAAAATACAAAATTAAATTAAATACGCAATACATAATTATATAAAATTTTAAAATAATTACAATTAATAGGAATTTTTTTATGATTTTTTAGATGTATACTTCTGAATATTTTTTCTATTTTAGGGAGACTCTATAACCACCCTTTAAATCTTAATTTTATTAAGGAGGTCTTCATAGACACGTTTTCATTACAATTTTTGGTAAAAGCTCGATTTTCAGCCAAGTATCATAGTGTCTATGATTTATATTAATTATGGGTATATTTTGTATTTTCTTCATAACTTCGTTAATTGTTAATCAATTGAGTTGGTTTTTATGGCATTGAACGAGAACATTCGCCCCTAAAATACAAAATTATTAAATAAACAACATATGTTTATAAGAGATTATAAAATTATTAAAATTTACAAGAATCTGTTTTATGATTTTGTTAGTGGGCAATTTCTTATATATTTTGTATATATAGTAGAACTTAGAACTCCATTTGTAATTTATTTAGTTTAAGGTATATGTTAAGATTTAAGTTTGTCCATTATTTTGGATACAAATCGAATTTTACGACCTGTACCATAGTGCGTATGATTTATTTTAATTATGGGTATTTTTTGTATTTTCTTCATAACTTTTTTATTTGTTAAGGAATTTCGTTGGTTTTTACGGCAATTGAAAGAAAACATTCGCACAAAAAATACAAAATTATCAAATGGAAAAGATTATTGGAATCATAAAAAATAAAATTATTTTATTACAGAAAAAAATTGGCAGAACTTGAATTTTTTCTAGGACATGTATATTTTTTGTCAATCATAGACATCCTTTTTTGAGAGAGAGAGAGAGAACTTCCTGTACGAATACTCGAAGTGGTGTTGGGTATCATGAAATCGGTTGTGTCCGACTTTTTTCTCATTTTCTTACTATTCTTAATTAAATAATCTTCAGCAAAACTGATGTGTCTTTAAAACAATGCATGAGTGTGTGTTCTAAGGAAAAATATATAAATACATATGTACATACTACAGCAACACCTTTCACAACTTCTATCGAATTAGACTTTAGATTTTTCATTCTTTATATAAAATATATTAAGCAATTAAAAATGAAATAAATATATTCAAACACAGAATTTTTAATAACCCCTACAGCTATCGAAACATGAAAAAAAATAGAAAACAAATTGACTTCCATGGTTCAATTAAATTGAGATATTTAAACTCTGATTGTGATATAAAGATTATCAGTAAATAAATTTTATTTATTTATGATTTTATTTATTTACCAATTTATTTATTTTTTATTTTTTTTTATTTTTTTTTTTTTTTGATGCAAATTAAGGAAACATTTCCTCAATATTAATTATTAGCAGATGCATTTGGAATAGAGGAAATCCGGGGGTATAGATTTCCACTATTCAAAATTTATTTTTTATTATTTAAGAAATATTTACCTTTTTATCCATTCTTTCGGCTCTAGAGGCACTTTTAAGCCTCGTACCATAGTGCGTATGATTTATATTAATTATGGGTATCTTTGGTATTTTCTACATAACTATTTCATTTCTCAAGCTATTTTAGTTATTTCTGTGACAAAATGAAGTAAACATTTTCGCAAAAAATACAAAATTATTTAGTATACTAGAAGTCATTGGATGAATTAAAAAACAACTTCATAAAAAATATTTTTTTTTTTTTAATTTTTGATACCTCGATACCATTTAAGAAGTTAAACCCACTTATTAATTCAGGTCAATAAATATTTTGAATAAGAAGTTCCCCAATGTTATAATTTGTCCATTATTTGGGCTCTAGCGGCACTTTTAAGCCTCGTACCATAGTGCGTATGATTTATATTAATTATGGGTATTTTTGGTATTTTCTTCATAACTTTTTTATTTACCATGTAATTTTGTTCATTTTGGTGTCCATCTAAAGAAAACATTCGCCACAAAAATACAAAATTCTTAGATACACCAGAAAAATTATGTGATAGCTTTTAAATTATATATTTTTATTATATATTTAGTTTTGGCCATATTGTCATATAAAGTTTATGGGTATCTAGTTTATTCTACTATTTAGTAGATGATAAATCCACTTATTTAGGGCATTTAATAACAATTTTCATTAAGAAAATCCCTACCTCTACAATTTGTCCACTATTTTGGCTCTAGCGGCAATTTTAAACAAAGTACCCGAGTGCGTATGATTTATTTTAATTCTGGATATTTTTGGTATTTTCTTCAAAACTTTTTTATTTGTCATGGAATTTTATTGATTTTGGTGTCCATCGAAAGAAAACATTCACCACAAAGATACAAAATTATAAAATATGAGAGAAACAATTTCATTAAATTAAAAAAAAAAATCAAAAATTAAAATGCTGATGATTGACATATTTATTATTAGTTCTCATAATTATTAGATGTCAAATCTACTTATTACTTCAGTTAAAAACATATTTTGAATAGGAAGATCTCCACTGTTATAATTTGTCCATTATTTGGGCTCTAAATTAAATTTTAAGCAAAGTACCCGAGTGCGTATGATTTATATTAATTATGGATATTTTTGGTATTTTCTTCATATATTTTTTATTTATCATGCAATTTTTATGATTTTCGTGCCCATCGAATGGAAACATTCACCACAAAAATACAAAATTCTTAGATACTCCAGAAAAATTATATACATATATTTAAAAATATATATTTTCATTATTTTTTCTTTTTTGGCAATCTTGCCATTCTGGGATATTTGGTTTATTCTACTGTTAAGTAGAATTTAATCCACTTATTGACTATATTAAATAAGTATTTTCATTAAGAAAATTCCTACCTCTACAATTTGTCCACTATTTTGGCTCTAGCGGCAATTTTAAACAAAGTACTCCAGTGCGTATGATTTATTTTAATTATGGGTATCTTTGGTATTTTCTGCATAACTATTTCATTTCTCAAGCTATTTTAGTTATTTCTGTGACAAAATGAAGTAAACATTTTCGCAAAAAATACTAAATTATTTAGTATACGGGAAGCCATTGGATGAATTAAAAAACAACTTCATAAAAAATATTTTTTTTTTTAAATTTTTGATACCTCGATACCATTTAAGAAGTTAAACCCACTTATTAATTCTGGTCAATAAATATTTTGAATAAGAAGTTCCCCACTGTTATAATTTGTCCATCATTTGGGCTCTAGCGGTACTTTTAAGCCGCGTACCATAGTGCGTATGATTTATATTAATTATGGGTATTTTTGGTATTTTCTTCATAACTTTTTTATTTATCATGGAATTTTGATGATTTTGGTGCCCATCTAAAGACAACATTCACCACAAAAATACAAAATTCTTAGATACTCCAGAAAAAGTATATACAAATATTTAAAAAATATATTTTCATTATTTCTTCTTTTTTGGCAATCTTGCCATTCTGGGATATCTAGTTTATTCTACTTTTACTGTTCAAATCCACATATTGACTCAATTCAAAAACGTTTTTGATTAAGCAGATCCTTCCCATTCCAATTTGTCCATTATTTGGGCTCTAGCGCCAATTTTAAACAAAGTACTTGAGTGCGTATGATTAATTTTAATTATGGGTATTTTTTGTATTTTCTTCATGACTTTTTTATTTATCATGCAATTTGGATGATTTTGGTGCCCATCTAAAGGAAACATTCACCACCAAAATACAAAATTATAAAATAAGAGAGAAAGCATTTCATAAAATATTAAAAATTAATATTTTGATGATAGATTCATTAATTTAATATTTATTCTCATATTTATTAGAAGTTAAATACACTTATTAATTCCGTCCAATAAATTTTTTGAATAAGAAGTTCCGCACTGTTATAATTTGTACATTATTTGGGCTGTAGTGCCAATTTTAAATAAAGTACCCGAGTGCGTATGATTTATTTTAATTATGGGTATTTTAGGTATTTTCTTCATAACTTTTTTATTTACCATGGAATTTTGTTGATTTTGTTGCCCATCTATAGAAAACATTCCCCGCAAAAATACAAAATTTTCAAATAATAGAAAAAAAACAATCTTATACACTAATAAAAATTAAAATTTTTTTTCTCAAAATAATTTTTTATTAATTTTATTTTTGAACGGATAAAGTTTGGGTCTTGACGTTCCCGAACTGTTTTTGCAATTATTATTTTTTATATGTATAAACCAATTTTTACTCTATACAATAACTTTCTTCTCTCTAGCTCCACTATACTCAATAAATATATAGATATCTTAAACCCGTCTATATAAATAAAATAATCTACAATCTAAACTTCTTTCTTTCGATGTTGTCACTCTCTCTGTCTGCTTAATGTCCTATCTCTTTCTGTGTGTGTGTGTTTGTGTTTTGACAAATTGATTTTTCAACTTTCCAGTTTTAGGTCTATCGAAATTTGCAAAATTGGCCCGTTCGGTAACGAGAAGTCGTCAATTCAGCGCACATTTGCCAACGTTAAAGGATCCAACGAAACAATCAAATTTGGCACATGTAAGTGGGAAAATTTAATTTTCTTTTGTGATATTTTCATAATAATTATCTTTTCAAATTTTCCAGATGATGTCCCTTAGTGCGGATATTATGCCGCAATATAGACAGGAAGCGCCTAAAACACCACCTCACATATTATTGCATTATTGTGCATTTAAAGCCATATGGGATTGGGTTATATTGTGTTTAACATTTTATACAGCAATTATGGTAAGTTTTTGTAAAAATTGAATAGGAAATATGACTTAAAGATCCAAGGAGAACCTAAAAAAATTGATAAAATTAAATTTATTTTAAAATATTCTTACTTTATAAAAAATCCAAGGTTAAGGTCCGAGATAAAAATTGAAGAATCCAAGATTCCGATTGAAAAATTCGCTTTTCTTAGATTTTTTAAGCACCCGTTTTGCTGGAATTTTATTCCATATCGTTGCAAATATTTTAAATATTCGTCTTTTGTAAAAATTACGGCTCTAAAAGCATTTTTAGTTAATGTACTCTAGTGCGTATGATTTATATTAATTATAGATTTATTTTGTATTTCCGCCATAACTTTTTAAGTTGTGAAGCAATTTGCGAAATTCTTTCGCCAATATATAGTCAACATATCGTAGAAAAATACAAAATTCTAAAAAAATACTAATCTGTAAATAATTTTTATAAAATTTTTAATTAGAAATAAAATTTAAATATTTTTTCTCTATTTTTTTTAAATTTTTTATTAATTTAATTTTGGATGGATTTTTTGCTGCGTATTACATTTCTATTACTTCAGAATATTAAAACAAATCGATTTTCCTTGATTTTTTCCCTCTAGAGGCATTTTTTAAGGTGTTACTCTAGTGCGTATGATTTATATTAATTATTGGGTATTTTTAGTATTTTCTTCATAACTTTTTTATTTTTCAAAGAATTGATGTAAATTTTTCTGCCAAAATTAAGAGAACATATCGCCACATAATACAAAATTATTATAATGAAGGGTTCTATTTGAGAAATTTTGAAAAAAAATAGAAAACTTTGGAAATTTATTTCACAAAAATATTTTTCGGGTGGGAATTTTCAAATTTAAAATTTTTACTCGCTTTAAAAGTTCCTTTTGCTTACGAATTTTTAAATCCATTGATTTTTCTAGAAATTATAGCCCTAGAGGCCTTTTTTAAAGGTGTTACTCTAGTGCGTATGATTTATATTAATTATTGGGTATTTTTAGTATTTTCTTCATAACTTTTTTAGTTGTAAAGGAATTGATGTAATTCTTTCGGCCAAAACTAAGGGGACATATAGGCCCATAATACAAAATTATTATTATGAAGATTTCACTTTCAGAAATTTTTGAAAAAATTAAAAAAATGGAAATTTATTTCACAAAATTATTTTTCCGCTGGGAATTTTAAAACTTGAATTTTTTACACGCTTTAAAGGTTCCTCTTGCTTACGAATTTTCAAATCCATTGATTTTCCTGCAAATTATAGCCCTAGAGGCTATTTTTAAGGGTGTTACTCTAGTGCGTATGATTTATATTAATTATTGGATACTTTCAGTATTTCCTTCATAACTTTATTTTTTGTTAAGGGATTTATGTAATTTTTTCGCCTAAAATTAAGAGAAGATATTGCCCCATAATACAAAATTATTATAATGAAGGTTTCACTTTCAAAAAATTTGAAAAAATTTAAAAACTTTGGAAATTTATTTCACAAAATTATTTCTTCGTTGGCAATTTTCAAATTTTTAATTATTACTCGCTTTAAAGGTTTCCTTTGCTAAATAATATATAAACCCGTTGATTTTCCTAGAGGACATTTTTAAGGGTGTTACTCCAGTGCGTATGATTTATATTAATTATTGGATATTTTTAGTATTTCCTACATAAATTTTTTATTTGTAAAGGAATTGATGTACTTTTTTCGCCCAAGATTAAGAGAACATATCGCTCCATAATACAAAATTATTATATTGAAAGGTTCACTTTCAAAAGTTTTGGAAAAAATTTGAAAATTTTGGAAATTTATTTCACAAAATTATTTTTCCTTTGAGAATTTTAACATTCAGAATTCTCTATTGCTTTAATGATTTGCAGATGAACTTTGAACAAATTTATGATCTCAGTGTCCATCATTTGCCTTCAGATTTATGTGACACCAGGGTTGTAACACCTAAAAATGCCCTCCCCCCATCAAAATTAGCAAACACATTCCCCAACATTATCTTTGCTTCTACAGACCAACCAAACAGTCCAAGTACAAATACTTGAATAATTAAGTGATAATCTCTAAGTAGGGGTTTTTGGCAGGGTATAATTTACAGTGTTTGCCTTCGAGGGGGGTCGGCAATAAATTTCCATAGCCTATGTGTCATGTGCGGTAGGATGGATGTATGGTGTTATTTATCTCTCAAGGGCCAAGTGTTTATACTTAGCCTATGTCTAGTGTTGTATTTTTCTTTTTCTATTTGAGTACACCTCTTAAAAGGTCTTTAAGTCATAACCTAATCTATTACTATGCCATATTGTTGATTGTAATTTTTTTCTCCTTACTTTTTACTATTTTCTTCTTCTTTCCACAGGTGCCATATAATGTCGCTTTTAAAAATAAAACCTCAGAAGATGTTTCATTACTCGTTGTTGATTCAATTGTAGATGTTATTTTCTTTATTGATATTGGTAAGTATAAACATGTTGTAACCTCTCCGATCCGCCTTCCAACCTCTCATCTTGGGTGTGGCAATATGTCATATAATTTTTGTAGAAAGCAGAGACAAATATGCCAGCGACACATGTCGGAGAGGCTATTAACATAACCACTCGACATACATTTGCGGCATTATTCTACCCGCATGCATGATGCATCATGACAGACTTTCATACTTTTATAAATGTAGCGGAAACAGTAAAGCTCTCTTATGATGAGGAGGATTCACATATGCGATTTAAGTTACCTGACACAAGTAGGGGGAAATTGGGTTGGGGAGGAACGAAGCTTCATGATTATGAATTCATATTGGCAAACGGAAATGGATGTTGTCATCGTCAGTCGTCTTAGCCACACCCAGAATTTGCCAAGGAAGGAAGTTATTTTGCAGTCTTCGTTAATTTCGGTAGTTTTCATAGAAAAAAATTCGCAGACTTCTAGTTATAATTCTATGAACCCACATCGTCGACATCAGCAATTTCCTTTTTGTCAATAGCTCAGACTTCTTGAATTGAATTCATTTCTAGATTTTTGTTGTCTGGGAAGATTTCCCCCTCCCCTACTCTTTTCCTCTCCCCCTCCATTTTCTCTTTTCTCAATGGTATTTGTGTCTACTTCTGTCTCTCAGGAAGCCAGAGACTACAAATTCCGAACAAATTGTTGTACATATTAAATCACAATGAAGTGAAATATTTATAAAGGTGAAAAGGGTGTACAAAATTGGAATGATGAGAGTTTTTAAATAAAATAAGAATATTAATATCTCAAAAATTCTCCTACACGACCCAATTGCTAATTTAAAGGGGTTATATGGAGGTTATATTACATCTTAAGTTATTTAAATTTAATTAATTCACCTATATTCATCAGTATAACAGTTTGAAAAAAGTTTCTTATATCAAGTCATTTCTTTATTCTAATTAAATTCGACCAAATTCACAATTATTTTTATGTAAATTGATCAAAAAATGTGAGTATAACAGTTTATAACAGTTTCGTGAATAGCAAAAAATTAATTATTTTTGGCAGATTTCTGGATTATATTAAATTTCTGTCAATTCCTTAACATTTTGACCAAAAAAATGGGAGTATAACAGTTTATAACAGTTTCGTGAATGGCTAAAAAATGAGTCATTTGTGTTAGATTTTTGGGTTATTATCAATTTCTCGGATTTTTTAGATATTTTTAGCAATTTGACTAAAAAAATGTGAGTATAACAGTTTATAACAGTTTCGTGAATGCTAAAAAATCAGTCATTTGTTTTAGAATTTTAGGTTATTTTCGATTTTTTTCATTTCGTTAGAAATTTTTAGCAATTTGACCAACAAATGGGAGTATAACAGTTTATAACAGTTTCGTGAATAGCAAAAAATTAATTATAATTTCTGGATTATAAAATTTCTGTCAATTAACATTTTGACCAAAAAAATTTAACAGTTTATAACAGTTTTATTTTCAATTTCTGGCAATTTCCGATTATTTTCAATTTCTTTTTTTAGCAATTTAGCAACAAAAAAACGTTAGTATAACAGTTTATAACAGTTTCGTGAATGCTAAAAAATCAGTCATTTGTTTTAGAATTTTAGGTTATTTTCGATTTTTTTCATTTTCTTTAGAAATGTTTAGCAATTTGACCAACAAATGGGAGTATAACAGTTTATAACAGTTTCGTGAATGGCTAAAAATCAATTATTTCTGTCAGAATTCTGGATCATTTTCAATTTCTGGCAATTTCGTAACATTTTTTTATTAAAAATTTGGCCAAAAATGGCAGTATAACAGTTTATAACAGTTTTGTGAATGATTAAAAATTAATTATTTGGGCAGATTTCTAGATTATTTTCAATTTCTTGCATTTTTATTGGAAATTTTTAGAAAAATTTTCCAAAAATGTTAGTATAACAGTTTATAACAGTTTCGTGAATGCTAAAAAATCAGTCATTTGTTTTAGAATTTTAGGTTATTTTCAATTTTTCAGATTTTCTTTAGATATTTTTAGCAATTTGACCAAAAAATTGGAAGTATGACAGTTTATAACAGTTTCAAACATTACTAAAAAACAATTCATTTTAACATTTTTCTAATTGATTTTTCAATTTCTCATGTTTTCTGAAACATTTTCGTAAGTTTGCCAATTTTTTGATAGTATAACAGTTTATAACAGTTTCGTGAATCATTTAATGTTGTCATATTTCTTGGTTATTATCAAATTTTAGTATTTTCTTTAGTTTACTTTTAGCAATTTGACCAAAAAATTGGGAGTATAACAGTTTATAACAGTTTCGAAAATGGCAAAAAAATCAACAAATTTTGGCAGATTTCTAGATCATTTCCAATTTCTTGCACTCCCATAACATTTTTTAAAAAATTTACCAAAAAATGGAAGTATAACAGTTTATAACAGTTTCGCGAATAACTAAAAAATCAGATAATTTTGTCAGATTTCTAAATTATTTTCAATTTCTTGCATTTCCTTAAGATTTTTCAACAATTTGACGAAAAAATATACGAGTATAACAGTTTATAACAGTTTTGTAAATTATAAAAAATCAAATATTTCTGGCAGATTTCTAAGCTACTTTAATTTTGTGAACTTTTTAAATATTTTTAGCAATTTTTCCAAAAAAAAATATGGGAGTATAACAGTTTATAACAGTTTCGTAAATCATAAAAAGTCATTTAAATTTGGGATTTTTTATCATTAAATTTTATTCATATAACTTTTTAAACTCTATCACTCAAAATAAGTTTCTTTTAGACAGTTTTTCCTCAGTATAACAGTTTATAACAGTTACGAAAATGTCCAAAACTCGCCAGAAATTTTATTTTTATCACTTTTTCGGCGCAATCCAACATTTTATTATTTTTTTTTCGAAAATTTTTCTTAGTATAACAGTTATAAAATTTTGAAAAGATATAAAAAATTTTGTTTATTGTTAATTTTTTTTCTCCAACTAAAATTTCTATTAATTGTCTAATTCGTTTTTTCCTCAATTTCGATAATTTTTTCATTATACCAGACCATTTTTGTTCAGTATAACAGTTTATAACAGCTTCAAAAAATTGCATAACTCATCAGAAACTTAATTTTTATAACATTTTAGACCATATCCATCAAATTTCAATTATTTCAGATCATTTTTGTTTAGTATAACAGTTACGAAAATTTACAAAACTCATCAGAAATTTTGTTTTTATAAGTTTTTAGAACATATCCTTTAATTTTCTCATCTTTCAAATCATTTTTTGTTAGTATAACAGTTTATAACAGTTTCGAAAATTTGCCCAAATTCATCAAAAATTGGATTTTTATAAGTTTTTGGACACTATCGATTTCTTTATAACGAACAAATTTTTTCAATTTTTAAGTAATTAGTTTGCCATTTTAAATTTTCTATCATATCCTTCAATTTTTAAATATATCAACCCGTTTTTTGTTAGTATAACAGTTTATAACAGTTCATCAAAAATTTTTTAGCCAAAAATCATCAGTATAACAATATTATTTAGCCAAAAATAATCAGTAATGTTATTTGAATAATTTATTAGGCCATATCCATCAATTTCCAGTTCTTTCAGACCATTTTTCCTCAGTATAACAGTTTATAACAGTTTCGAAATTTTGCCAAAAATCATTAAAAATTTGATTTTTATAACTTTTTTGACCATATCCATTAAATTTTCTCTGCATAAATTCACTTTTGGGTAGTATAACAGTTTATAACTGTTTCGAAAAATTGCCAAAATTCATCAAAAATTTTATATTTCATAACTTTTTAGACCATATCTATCAATTTCCTGTTCATTCAGACGATTTTTCTTCAGTATAACAGTTTCGAAATTTTGCCAAAAATCATCAGAAATGTTATTTTTATAACATTTTAGACCATATCCACACATTTCCTGTTCTTTCAGACCATTTTTCTCCAGTATAACAGTTTATAACAGTTTCGAAATTCTGCAAAAATCATCAGAAATTTTATTTTTACAACTTTTTAGACCATATCCACACATTTCCTGTTCTTTCAGACCATTTTTCTCAGTATAACAGTTTCAAAAAAATGTGAAAAAATATATATTTTTTTTTTAATTTTTAGCAATTTTTTCTGTCAGTTTAAATTTTCTATCACCCCATATTGGCCCTATTTAAGCATTACAGTCATGCACCACTGCCTCAAACATAACCTCACTTGGGACGGGTCATGAATAAATTCAAATCAATTTTGGTATGCCCTGCACAACACAATAGAGCGAGCGAACGAACGAAAGAGAATGCAGTGAAAACGTGTTGCGACATGCACAAAAATATAAGACAAATATTGCCACCAATCCCCCTCACTACCTCCCTCCACTCCTAGATATCAAAAATTGCTACTCATAATAATTTTCCGATTTGTTCTTCTTCTTTTTCTTCCTTTGCAGTTTTAAATTTTCATACAACCTTTGTGGGTCCTGGCGGCGAAGTGGTCAGCGACCCCAAGGTGATCCGTATGAATTATCTTAAATCATGGTTCATTATCGATTTGCTCAGCTGCCTGCCATATGATGTCTTCAATGCCTTCGACAGGGATGAAGATGGCATTGGTTCGCTATTTAGTGCGCTAAAGGTGGTACGCCTATTGCGGCTGGGCAGAGTTGTACGAAAATTGGATCGTTATTTGGAATATGGTGCGGCCATGTTGATACTGCTGTTGTGTTTTTATATGCTGGTGGCCCATTGGCTGGCATGTATATGGTATTCGATAGGTCGAACGGATGCTGATAATGGAGTAGGAATCAAGCGCCCGATTTTGTCAAAGAAAAAATTTAAAAATATCCAATTTTTATTTCAGATCCAATATAGTTGGCTGTGGAAGCTGGCCAATGTCACCCAATCCCCCTATTCGTATATCTATAATAATGATTCCACAGAACTGATAAATGGTCCCTCGCGTAAGAGTATGTATGTAACGGCCTTGTATTTTACCATGACTTGTATGACATCGGTAAGTCGATTTTTTTGGGGGAACATTAACCCTTGAAGCGCCAAAAAAAAAAAATATTTCTTTTTCTTTTCAAGACCCCATGAATAAATTTTTAATAAAAAATTTCTTTTTTCTATTTTTTCCAAATAATTTTTTTCCAGGTGGGATTTGGCAATGTCGCCGCCGAGACGGACAACGAGAAGGTGTTCACCATCTGCATGATGATAATTGCAGGTGCAGTGTTTTTAACACGTTCCGTTGCCACGTCATTCTATTGCTATTAAATAGAATAATTTTTCATAAAAAATAAATAACGGCTTTGGTAGTTAAAAAAATACAGAATAACATAAATGAAATGTGCGCTCAACAAAATTGCAGTATAACAGTTTTTAGAAGTGGGAAAAATTAGAACCTAGTATATGTAAAAATAGTTTTCAACTATATTAGAAAAAAATTTGAAATTTTTTGCAAAAAAATCTTGAGTATAACAGTTTTCTTTTGCAGTATAACAGTTATAAATTTCTAGAAAATCTTATAAAAATCGTTATTTATTAATTAGAACACAAAACATTCAATTTTATGCGAAAAAATAGCAGTATAACAGTTTTTGATAACAGTATAACAGTTATAAATTATCGAAAAAATCTTTAAACATTTCATATATTGGAAAAATTTCACAATTTTAAGCTGAAATAATAATTTTTCTTCAGTATAACAGTTTCGCAATGGAGTATAACAGTTATAAATTTCTAGGAAATCTTATAAAAATTTGTTATTTATTAATCATAATTTAATTAAACTACAAAATTTGTCATTTTATGCGAAAAAATTGCAGTATAACAGTTTTTGATAACAGTATAACAGTTATAAATTATCGAAAAAAACTTTAAAAATTTTCTATATTGGAAATTTTTCACAATTTAAAGCTGAAATAATTATTTTTTCTCCAGTATAACAGTTTCGTAATGGAGTATAACAGTTATAAATTTCTAGAAAATCTTATAAAAATTTGTTATTTATTAATCTTAATTTAATTAAATTACAAAATTTGTTATTTTATGCGAAAAAATCGCAGTATAACAGTTTTTGATAACAGTATAACAGTTATAAAATATCGAAAAAAAAACTTTAAAAATTTTCATATATTGAAAAAAATTATGAATTAAAGCCAAAATAAGAATTTTTATAATCAAATTTGCATGTATAACAGTTTCGCAATGGAGTATAACAGTTATAAATTTCTAGAAAATCGTATAAAAATTCTTTATTTTTGAATCTTAATTAAATGTGCACACAAAAATCGGCAATTTTATGCGGAAAATCGCAGTATAACAGTTTTAGGTAGCAGTATAACAGTTATAAATTATGGAAAAAAATCTTTAAAAGTTTCATATATTGAAAAAATTTTCACAATTTAGAGCTAAAATAATAATTTTTTGAATCTTAATTAAATTTACACACAAAAATCGGCAATTTGTGCGAAAAATCGCAGTATAACAGATTTAGGCAGCAGTATAACAGTTATAAATTATGAAAAAAATCTTTAAAAGTTTCATATATTGAAAAAATTTCACAATTCAGAGCTAAAATAATAATTTTTGCCCAGTATAACAGTTCCTAAATCCAGTATAACAGTTATATATTTCTAAAAAATCTTATAACAAATCGTTATTTATTAATCTTTAATAAATTACAAACACAAAATAGATAATTTGATGCGAAAAAATCGCAGTATAACAGTTATGGACAACTGTATAACAGTTATAAATTATGGAAAAAATTTTTAAAATATCGTTTATTTTGGAAAATTGTACAATTTAAATCTACAATAATAATTTTTATAATAAAATTTGTCAGTATAACAGTTTGGTAATGCCGTATAACAGTTTTTTATTTAGGGAAAATTCTTTAAAAACTCAAATTTACGGATGAATTTTATAAATTAAGGTTAAAATAATAATTTTAATCATCATATTAGCCAGTATAACAGTTTCGTAATGCAGTATAACAGTTATAAATATAGGGAATGTCATACAAAACACCATATTTTGGGCTAACTTTCATAAATAAAGGCTGAACTGGTCATTTTTATCATCATATGAGCCAGTATAACAGTGCAGTATAACAGTTACGAATTCGGAGAAACTCATTTAAAATTCCATATTTCGAATAAATTTTATACATGAAGGTTAAAATAATAATTTCTATTATAAAATTTGCCAGTATAACAGTTTCGTAATGCCGTATAACAGTTATAAACATCGAGAAAAACTTTAATAATTCTATATTTCGTATAAGACTAAAATTATGATTTTTATCATCATATTAGCCACTATAATAGTTTCTTAATGCAGTATAACAGTTTATAATAAAGGGGAAATCTTTAAAATTCTATATTTTAAAAAACACTTTCATAAATTAAATCTAAAGTGATAATTTTTATCATCATATTAGCCAGTATAACAGTTTCACAATGCAGTATAACAGTTACAAATTCAGGGGAAAATCTTTAAAAAATCCACAAATTAATTGTTGGGATAAATTGAAGCGCACATTTCATTATGTTACGCCGCTAGAACTAATAAATGTTAACCTATTGTTGTTGTAGTTTCCCCGACCCCGATCCTTCTCCCTAACCCTTTATTAAGTTTTATATGTGTTGGTATTTAGTTGATTATGTGTGTATGTGTGAAAGGGCCAATAAATTTTGACGAAAAAATTTGATATGAAAATATTTTGGACAAAAAAATTTAAAATTTTTTTCGACCAAAAAAATTTTTGGTATAAAAAATGATTCCGACCGAATTGGAATAAAAAATGTTTCGACCAAAAAAAAATTGGTAGAAAAAATTTTTTTATACCGGAAATTGTCTTGAAACATTATTTAAGTTAGAAAAAAAATTTTTACCAATTTTTTTGGGTATATATTTTTTTTTAAAATTTTGGTAGGATTTTTTTATAAAAAATGTTGCTGTAAAATTTTATATAATTTTCACTAAAAATATAAAGTTTGGAAAATTTTTCAACCAAAAAAAATCTTGGTATAAAAATTTTTTTCCAAACAAAAAATAATATAAAAAATTTTTAGACGAAAAAAAATATTTAGCTATTAAAAATTTTTCAATCAAAAAAAAATTAATATTTTTTTCGACCAAAAAAAAATAATTTTTTATAATTGTTTTTCGCTTGAAAAAAATTTTTCTATATAATTTTCTTTAAATATATTTAGTTTAGAAACATTTTTCGACCAAAAAGAATAATTGGTATTAAATTTTTTTTCGACAAAAAAAAAAAAAATGTTGGTATTCATTTTTATTCGATCAAAAAAAAAATGTTGATTTTAAAAATTTAAAAAAAAATTAAATTTTTAAATTTTTTTCAACCAAAAAAAAAATGATACAAAAATGTATTCGACCAAAAAATAATTTGGTACACATTTTTTACGTCCAAAATAATTTTTGGTGTATATAATTCCTTTTTAAAAATATTCATGTTAGAAAAAAATTTTCGACTAAAAAAATTTTTTTGGAATACATTTTTTTTTTCGAACAAAAAAATTTTTGGTTTATTTTTATTTTACCCAAAATAAATGTCGATTTTTCGACCAAAAAAATTATTTGGTATAATTATTTTTTACGCCCAAAAAAATGTTGCCTATATAATTATCTGTAAAAATGTTTAGTTTAGAAACATTTTTCGACCAAAAAGAAATTTTGGAATTAAAATTTTTTTCGACCAAAAAAAAAAACTTGGCATAATTTTTTTTCGCCCAAAAAAATTTTTTGATATTAAAAAGTTTAACAAAAAAAATTGGTATTAAATTTTTTTCAACCAAAAAAATTGGTATAAAAAATTATTCGACCAAAAAATAATTTGGTACACATTTTTTACGCCCAAAAAATGTATTCCTTCCTTTTCGACCAAAAAACTTTTTAGTATAACATTTTTTACGACCAAAAAATACTTTTTGGTATAAAATACCAACAAAAAAATTTGACACTAAAAAGTGTTTAACAAGAAAAATTGGTACTAATTTTTTTTCAACAAAAAACTTTTTGTGTATATAAATTTTTAAAAATACTCAGGTTAGGTGAATTTTTTTCTTGGAATAAAATTTTTTCCGACCAAACAAAACTTTTTGATATAAAATATCAACAAAAAATTAGACATTAAAAAACGTTTAACAAAAAAAATTGCTATTAAATTATTTTCAACCAAAAAAAAAAAAAGAAAAAAAAAATGATACAAAAATGTATTCGACCAAAAAATAATTTGTTACACATTTTTACGCCCAAATAAATTTTTTGTGTAAATAATTACTTTTTAAAAATATCAAAAAAACTTTTTCGTATAAATTTTTTTTCGACCAAAAAAAACTTTTTGGTGTAATATATCAACAAAAAAATTTGACATTAAAAAGTGTTTAACAAGAAAAATGGTATTAATTTTTTTTCAACCAAAAAAAATTGGTATATAAATTTATTCGAACAAAACTAATTTGGTAGAAATTTTTTTCGACCAAAAAATTTCTTTGTGTATATAGTAATATCTTTTTAAAAAATAGTAATATCTTAAAAAAAATATTTCGACCAAAAAAATTTTTGGTATAAATTTTTTTCGACCAAAAAAAAACTTGATATTAAAAAGTTTTTAACAAAAAAATTGGTATTAAATTTTTTTCAACCGAAAAAAATTGGTGTATAAATTTATTCGACCAAAAAATAATTTGGTATACATTTTTTACGCCCATTTCTTGTGTATATAATTACTTTTTAAAAATAATAAATATAAATATAAAATTTTTTTCGACCAAAAAATTAATTTGGTACAAATTGTTTACACTCAAAAAAATTTCGCTTGCATACTATTTTTAAAAATATTTAGTTTCGAAATTTTTTTCGACCAAAAAAATGTTGGTATAAAAAAGTTTTCGACCAAAAAAATAATTTGGTATTATTATTTTTTACGCATAACTAATTTTTTTGCCTACGTAATTTTCTTTAAAAAATATTGGTATAAAAACTTTTTCGACCAACAAAAATTTTTGGTATGAAATTTTTTTCACCAAAAAATAATTTGGTTAAATTTTTTTTTTCGACCAAAAAATAATTTGGAAAAATATTTTTTCGACCAAAAAAATAATAGTATATAAAGTTTTTCGAAGAAAAAAAATTTGGTATTAAAATTTTTTTCGACCAAAAAATAATTTGTTACAATTTTTTTACGCTCAGAAAAATTTTGCTTGAATAATATTCTTTAAAAATATTTAGTTTCGTAAATTTTTCGACCAAAAAAAAAAAGAAAATGGTATAAAACGTTTCCGACCAAAAAAACTTATTTGGTATAATTTTTGTTTTTTACGCCCAACATTTTTTTTTTTTTTGCCTACATAATTTTCTTTAAAACAATGTTAGGTATAAATTTTTTTTCGACCAAAAAACTTTTTTGGTATAAAATATCAACAAAAAAAATTTGACATTAAAAAGTGTTTAACAAAAAAAATTGGTATTACATAAAATTTTAAAAAAATTTAGTTTCGAAAAAAAATTTCGACCAAAAAAAAGTTGGTATAAAACATTTTTCGACCTAAAAAAATAATTTGGTATAATTATTTTTTACGACCAAATATCTTTTTATTTTACTTCTTAGAAAAAAATTCGAACAAAACAAAGTTTTTCGACCGAACAAAAATTTCTGGTATAAATTTTTTTTCGACCAAAAAATTTTTGGTATATTTTTATTCGACCAAAAAAAGAAGGTGGTACAAAATATTTTTCGAAGAAAAAAATTTTCGTATTAAAATTTTTTTCGACCAAAAAATAGTTTGGTACAATTTTTTTTACCCTCAAAAAAATAGCTTGTATAATATTCTTTAAAAATTTAGTTTCGAATAAAAATTTCGACCAAAAAAAAAAGTTGGTATAAAACATTTTTCGACCTAAAAAAATAATTTGGTATAATTAAACCAAAAAAAATTTTGCCTACCTAATTTTCTTTAAAAAAAATTAAAGGTATAAACATATTTTGGGCCAAAAAAATTTGGTATAAAAAATTTTTCGACCAAAAAAATTTTGGTATAATTTTTTTTATTTTTTTAATTTTTTTAAATATTTTTAAAATTTAAATTTTTTGCCTAAAAAATGATTTCATGTGAATTTTTACGCAGATTTTTTTACCAAAAACAAAGTTTTTGAATGAAGAAGATTCACATAAAAACATTTTTAAAAAAATTTAAGCAATTATATTTTCCCTTCTCCCCTCCAACAGCAACAACAAAATTTATTACTGTTCTAGCGTTAGCGTTGAATTCTGATACCCCTACACAAACAACAGAGATGCCACATCTATAAAAAAAATTAATATATATTTTTAGAAATGAAAGTAGCAACAAAAACGTAAGCTAATACACTCAGCGAAAAAATAACACATCGATGTACACCAATACTAACAAAAATTATTTTTTTTTTTAATTATTATAAAAATAATTAATAATTTTTTTTTCTCTCGCTTCCCCCTTTAGCTCTACTTTATGCCACCATTTTTGGTCATGTCACCACCATCATCCAACAGATGACCTCGGCCACGGCTAAGTATCACGACATGCTGAACAATGTCCGAGAGTTTATGAAGCTGCACGAGGTGCCAAAGGCCTTAAGTGAACGTGTCATGGATTATGTGGTATCCACGTGGGCCATGACCAAGGGTTTAGATACGGAAAAGGTATTTCAGGATGTGGTTCACTTTATTTCATTTACTTGCATATTTTTTTCAAATTTCCTGTATAGTAATATAACAACGAATAGAAAGTTAAAAAATGAACACAAACGCCTCATAAAAAAATTGAAATTTTTTTTGAAAAAAAAATTGGAAATTTTTTTCAAAAAATTTTCAAAATTTATTTTTAAAAATTTATGAAATTTTTTTCGAAACATTTCGAGAGATTTAAATTTTTTTTGAAAAAAATATTGAAAATTTAAACAAATATATTGAAATTAAAAAAAAAATGTTTTGAAAATTAAAAAAAAAAATAATTAAAAATTTTTAGAAAAAAAATTCAAAATTTTCTGAAACAAAAAATTGAAATAAATAAAAAAAATTGAAAATTATTTTGAAAATTTTTTGATAAAAAATTTAAATTTTTTTGATAATTAATTGAAAATTATTTTGATAAAAATTGAAAATTTTGAAAGATAAAAAATTGAATTTTTTTTTTTTTTTTTGAAAAAAATTGAAAATTTTTTTGAAAAAAAAATTTTTTTTGATTTTTTTTTTTATATTTCCAAATTTAAAAAAAAATAATTTAAAAAAATATTGAAAATTTTAAAAAAATATATTAAAAATTTTTAGAAAAAAAATTTAAAATTTTCTGAAACAAAAAATTTAAATAAAAAATTTTTTCTTTGAAAATAATTTTGAAAAATTTAATTTACAAAAAAAAATTAAATTTTTAAAAAATTTGTAAAAAATTATAAAAAAAATTGAAAATTTTCTGAAAAAAATTTGAAAATATTTTAAACCTTATTTGAAAAAAAATTGGAAAAAACATCATTAAAATTTTTTTTTCAAAAAAAAATAATTTAAAAGCACCCGAGAACACCTACTCAGTCACAAAATCATCATAGAACACTTTTTGAAAAAAATTACAAAATCTTTTCATAATAACACGCAGTTGTAAATACACTGAAAAAAAACACAACAAAAAATTTCAAAAAAAATCAAAAATATTCAAGCCTTGTTTTCTTGTTTTAATTAAAAAAAAAATTGAAATTCAAATCTAGTTGCGTTGACCATAGCATAGCTGTAGGCAAAAATCAAAACCTCAGCAATGATTAGATGACAATATAAAATGCCTCCCCCCTTCTCTCTCATAACATAGTTGCATTTGAAACGCTTGTTCCACCCTTTCTCTCTTATTCTCTCAACTCTTTTTCAAAGCTTTTTCTGTATTATTTTCACGCCAGCTTTAATTGAAAATTTTTTTCCGTTTTCTTCTATTTTTTTATTTTTTACTTTTTGTCTTTTACTTCTTTAGCTTTAAATATTTCGTAAGCTTTCAACACTATTTTTGGCTATTCTTAACATTTTTTTTCACTTACCACAATTTTGAAAACAAAAAAAAAGAGGTCAGAGCCACGAAGCTCTATATGCTAAAGGAAGAAAGAAAAAACGAATTTTTCCGATTCAGACCAATAGTTTTTAGCAAAAAAATTTGTCGAAAAAAATTGAATGCAAAATTTTTGGGTCAAAATTTTTTTGGTCGAAAATTTTTTTAATGCAAATTTTTTTCTAAAAAATCTAAAATTTTAAAGGATTTTTTGCCATATTATAATTTTGGTCGAAAAAAATAGATACAAAAACATTTTGGTAGAATTTTTTTAACAAATTATTTACAATTTTTTTCACCCTTTAAAAAGTCTCAAACAAATTTTTTGGAACAACATAAACAAATGACCAAATATGTTGAAAAAGATTTTTAACAACATTTTTGGTCGAAAAAGTTTTCACACCAAATTTTTAAAAGTGAGAAAATCTAAAATAAATTTAAATAAATTCTACCAAAATTTTTGGTCGAAAAATTTTTACACCGAATTAATTTTCAAAAAACAAAAAATCAGAATTTTTAAAGGGTGACAAATTAAAAAAAATCTCAAATTTCAAAATTCTACCAACATTTTTGGGAGAAAAATTTTTGGTCGAAAATTTTTTCACACCAAATTTTGTTTAAAATTTATTTTTAGAAATTTCAAAGACTTAATAATTTAAAATATATACAAAAAAAAATTGGTCGAAAAAAAATTCTACCAACATTTTTGGGTCAATATTTTTTGACGAAACACTTTTTACACCAAATATTGTTTTAAAACAATTTTTGAGAGTTGAGAGAGATGTATAGAATAACAATTGGTTGAAAAATAATTCTACCAAAATTCTTTGATCAAAAATTTTTCTCACACGAATTTTTTCAGACTTTATAAAGAGTGAAAAAAACCTAAAATTTATAGAAAACAAAATTGGTCGAAAAACTTTTCTACCAAAATTTTTGGTGAAATTTTTTTTTTGGTCGAAAAAAAATTATCACACCAAATTTTGTGCCACAAAAAAATTGTTTGTGACTTAATAGTGAAAAATGTCAAAAAAAAATTCTACCAAAATTTTTTGATCGAAATTTTCTTCCAAAAAAAGTTTTTAGAGAACATTATTTGGATGAAAAAAATATTTTTCATGGAAATCAAAATTTGTGACAAAACAAAAAAAATACCTAATTTTGACCAATACATTTTTTTGATAGAACAATATTTTGACCAAAAAAATTGGTCGATTTTTTTTTTAATTTTATTTGGTCCAACATAATTTTTAGTACAAAAATTGTCAAAAATTTTGGGCTAAAAAGAAATTCGACCAAATTTTGCTGTCCCAAAAATATTGGACCAAATTTTTTTCGGACCAAATAAAATTCTATAATTGTTTCTCGACCAAACATTTTTGTGTCGATAAAATTGGTCGATTTTATTTTATTTTATTTTTTTTGGGTAAAAAAAATCGACCAAAATTTGTTATATTAAATATTTTCGTACAAAAATTTAGACACATTCTTTTTTAATCAAATTTTTTATAGATTTTGGAATTAAAAAAAATATTTCTAACATATTTTTTTGTCCCAGTTTTGAATACAATTTTTTTTTTAAATACAAAATGTTTTATAGATTGGATTTTTTTATACAATTTTTTTTTTTTCGACCAAAACTATTTATACCAACATTTTGACCCAATTTTTTGATATCAGAAAATTTTTTTTGTACCAATACCGAATTTACAATACAATTTTCGAAATAATTAAAAGTATGTCTACCAACATTTTGGGCCAATTTGAAATACATTTTTTTATAGAAATATTTCTACCAAAATATTTGGCCTAAAATTGTTTATAAATTTTGAAAATGAAAAAAATATTTCTGCCAAAATGTTGGGCCAATTTTTTTTGGTAGAATTTTTTTAAATATATTTTTTTATAGATTGGTTTACAGCAATTATTTTTTTTCGACCAAAAATTTTTTTACCATAATTTAGACCCATTTTTTTTGTCGGATTTTATTTTAATTTTTTTAAACAGATTTTGGAAATAAAAAAGTATTTCTAACAAAAATTGTGGGCCAGATTGTATTGTGAAATACAATTTTTATAGAAATGTTTCTACCAAAAAATTTGACCCAATTTTTTAATTAAATAATCTTATACATATATAATTTCTTTATAAAACATTTCTACCAAAATGTTGACCCAATTACTTTTTTGTCGATTTTTTTTAATTAAAATTTTTATGGATTATTTTTTTCCACAAAACATTTTTCTACCAAAAATTTGGGCCAAATTTTTTTGGTCGGATTTTTTTTAAGTACAATTTTTTAAAGATTGTTTTATAGCAATTAGTTTTTTTCGACCAAAATTTAGATCCAAATTTTTTTTGGTCGGATTTTTTTTTTAAATAGATTTTGGAAATAAAGTGTTTAAACCAAAAATTGTGGGCCAGATTGTATTGTGAAATACAATTTTTATAGAAATATTTTTTTTAATTTTTTAATTTTTTTTTTAAAATATTTCCACCAAAATGTTGGCCCAAATTCATTTTTTTTTTTTTGATTTTTTTAATAAAAATTTTTATGGATTATTTTTTTCGACCAACAATTTTTCTACCAATATGTTATGCCAAATTTTTTGGTCGAATTTTTTTAAATGCAATTTTTTATAGGATTGTTTTTCCAAAATGTTGCCCCAATTTATTTTTTGTCGATTTTTTTTTTAATTAATATTTTTATGGATTATTTTTTTTTTCGACCAACAATTTTTCTACAAAAATTTTGGGTCAAATTTTTTTGGTCGGATTTTTTAAATACAAATTTTATATGTTGTTTTACCAAAATGTTAGTAAAATTTCTTTTTTGTTGATTTTTTTTAATTGAAATTTTTTGGATAATTTTTGTTGACCAAAAAATTTTCTACCAAAATTTTTGGGCCAAATTTTTTGGTCGTTTTTTTTAATACAATTTTTATAGGTTGTTTTATAGCAATATATTTTTTTGTATCTTAAATGTTTCCGACCAAAAATGTTTCTACCAAAAATATAGACCCAAATTTTTGGTAGGATTTTAAAATACAATTTTTGATTTAAAAAAAATATTTCTACAACAATTTTGGGCCAAATTTTTTTAAATACAATTTTTATTTATTTTTCTACCAAAATTTTGACCCAAATTTTTTTGTCGTTTTTTATTCTCATAAAAAGCTTACTCTGCCTTTTTTCTCAAACACCTTTTGCACAATTATTTCTACTACTTCCACTCGGCTTATAATTTTTTTCTTCCACCTTTCCACTGCTTTTCTTTCAACACCTTTATTTACACCCACTAATATTTTCAATATTTTATTTGTTCAATTTTTTCCATTATTTTTTTATTTTGATTTAATTTGTCTGTGTGTGTATCTCTCTCTTTTTCTTTCTCTCTCTCTCTCCCTAAAGGTAAACTCAGAGAAATCGCCAAAAAATGCAAACTAACAAAACTTTTAGGTAGAAAGCTAGAGAGTCTGTGTGTCTATGTGTGTGTGTTACCAGCTTAAAGCTAACAGCTTTTGATCCGTGTCAATACGAAAAGCGTCCGTCAAATATTTGCCATTAGATGATAGCTTTAAACCGAATCAAAAACCAAAGAAAAAATTGAATTGCTAAAAAAATATTGAAATTCGGTTTAAATTTTTTTGAAAATTATATCGCAAAAATGTGTTAGTTCAAAAAAAAAGTTCTCTTTCAGAAGACCCAAAACAGGACAACACTGCCTTTATACCATTTTCGATGACTATAGTTTGTGCCTTCTTAAAATAGTTGAAGAAAATTGTTTGGCCTCCGGGCCAAACCAGTCAACTGGACAGTGTTACGAAATTGAATTTATGTGACCCGAACCTTTTTTTAATTTTTTCTCAACCAATTAAGTTTTGATTTCGTAACACTGTGAATTTGAAAAAAATATTTGTTTTTTTTTTTTTGAAATGTAGGAAATAATAATAGAAAAAATTTGCGGAACCCTAGTTCCGAACTTTTTTTCGATAGAAAAAAATTCAAGGAACCCTAGTTCCGCAATTTTTTTCTATAGAAAAAAATTCAAGGAACCCTAGTTCCGCAATTTTTTTCTATAGAAAAAAATTCAAGGAACTCTAGTTCCGCAATTTTTTTCTATAGAAAAAAATTCAAGGAACTCTAGTTCCGCAATTTTTTGCGGAACCTTAGTTCCGAACGTTTTTTTCTATAGAAAAAAATTCGAGGGTCCCTAGTTCCGAACTTTTTTCTATAGAAAAAAATTCGAGGGACCCTAGTTCCGAACTTTTTTCTATAGAAAAAAATTCGAGGGACCCTAGTTCCGAACGTTTTTTTTTTCTATAGAAAAAAATTAAAGGAACCCTAGTTCCGAACGTTTTTTTTTTTCTATAGAAAAAAATTCAAGGAACCCTAGTTCCGAACTTTTTTCTATAGAAAAAAATTCTGGGACCCTAGTTCCGAACTTTTTTCTATAGAAAAAAAATTCAAGGAACCCTAGTTCCGAACTTTTTTTTTTTTCTATAGAAAAAAATTCGAGGGACCCTAGTTCCGAACGTTTTTTTTTTCTATAGAAAAAAGTTCGAGGGACCCTAGTTCCGAACGTTTTTTTTCTATAGAAAAAAATTAAAGGAACCCTAGTTCCGAACATTTTTTTCTATAGAAAAAAAAAATTGCGGAACGCTAGTTCCGAACTTTTTTCTATAGAAAAAAATTTAAGGGACCCTAGTTCCGAACTTTTTTCTATAGAAAAAAATTCAAGGAACCCTTGTTCCGAACATTTTTTTCTATAGAAAAAAATTCAAGGAATCCTAGTTCCGAACATTTTTTTCTATAGAAAAAAATTCAAGGAACCCTAGTTCCGAACATTTTTTTCTATAGAAAAAAATTCAAGGAACCCTAGTTCCGAACTTTTTTCTATAGAAAAAAATTCAACGAACCCTAGTTCCGAACTTTAGGGTTCCGAACTTTTTTATAGAAAAAATTCAAGGAACCCTAGTTCCATTTTTCGATAGAAAAACATTTCTATAATTTTTAGGGACCTCTCCTTTCGATTTTCGATTTCCGATTTTATTTCCTCCTCCTTCAGTTTTTCTTTTAATTTCGCATTTCAATTTGAGGATAGATGCGCATAGAAACAAAACTAAAACAAGAAAACAAACTTAGAACAACAACAACAATAAAAACTCAAAAGACCTTCCCCTTTCTCTCTTAACAAAAATTCTGTGTTCAAAACCCCTCTCAAAAAATTAAAGATTCCGACACCAACAACAACCAAATTCATTTCACAGGTACTAAACTATTGTCCGAAAGATATGAAGGCTGATATTTGTGTTCATCTAAATCGCAAAGTATTTAACGAGCATCCAGCATTTCGTCTTGCCTCGGATGGTTGTCTTCGGGCCCTGGCCATGCATTTTATGATGTCGCATTCGGCACCGGGCGATCTGCTCTATCACACGGGCGAGAGCATAGATAGTTTGTGTTTTATTGTGACCGGTTCGCTGGAGGTTATACAGGACGATGAAGTTGTGGCTATATTGGGTAAGTCTGAGGATAGAGCCTCTATAGACAAAAAATTGCGGAACCCTAGTTCCGAATTTTTTTTTCTATAGACAAAAAATTTGCGAAAACCTAATTCCGAACTGTTTTTTCTATGGACAAAAAATTTGCGGAGCCCTAGTTCCGAATTTGTTTTTCTATAGACAAAAAATTTGCGGAACCCTAGTTCCGAATTTGTTTTTCTATAGACAAAAAATTTGCGGAACCCTAGTTCCGAACTTTTTTTCTATAGACAAAAAATTTGCGGAACCCTAGTTCCGAACTTTTTTTCTATAGACAAAAAATTTGCGGAACCCTAGTTAGACAAAAAATTTGCGGAACCCTAGTTCCGAACTTTTTTTTCTATAGACAAAAAAAATTTGCGGAATCCTAGATCCGAAATTTTTTTCTGTAGACAAAAAAATTTGCGGAACCCTAGTTCCGAACCTTTTTTTCTATAGACAAAAAATTTGCGGAACCCTAGTTCCGAACTTTTTTGCTCCCAAGAAAATAAATTCACATCATATCTCCTCTGATCCCCCCAGGTAAAGGTGACGTCTTTGGCGACCAATTCTGGAAGGATTCTGCCGTTGGCCAGAGTGCGGCCAATGTCCGTGCCCTTACCTACTGTGATTTGCATGCCATCAAACGTGATAAATTACTCGAAGTCCTCGATTTCTATTCAGCTTTCGCAAATAGCTTTGCTCGCAATCTGGTACTCACCTACAATCTGAGACATCGTTTGATTTTTCGCAAGGTGGCCGATGTGAAACGCGAAAAAGAATTGGCCGAAAGGCGAAAAAACGAGCCACAATTGCCTCAGAATCAGGACCACTTGGTGCGCAAGATCTTTTCGAAGTTCCGGCGGACGCCACAGGTCCAAACCGGCTCAAAAGAGGCCGTCTCCGGGCAAAGTGATGTGGAAAAAGGTGGAGGCGGAGGCATTGGCGGCGGAGGAGGTGGCAGTAGTGGAGGTGGTACCTCAGATACTGCCGATACTGATCGTAATAAGGTGAGTGAGGGTTCGACGATCATTTTTTTTTGTTTTTGTTCTATGGAATGTGGTTTTTTATATGTGTATGTGTGTACATGTATATGTGTGTTAATTTTTGGTAGATTTAAAAAAATTCTATTTTTTGTTGTATTGAAAAAAAAAAATCGAAACTTAAATAAATGTCTTTAAATATTTTACCAGCCAAGTCAAGGCCCTAAGGTGCCAAAGGTTTGATAAATATTAAATGTTTATATTTTTTATTTGTAGTCGATTTAATTTTTTAAATAAATAAAATGGGGTTTAAGGATAAATAATCATAAAAATAAGGACTCGGTCTTGGGCGCATATCCTACAATTTGGAAGATCTACTTGGTCTTTCCATCTAACTAGTGGCCTTCCCCTTCTACGGGAACCATCAGCTGGTTCGCTTTTATATGCTTTCTGGGCTGGGGCATTTTCATCCATTTTCACAACATGGCCTAGCCATCGTAGTCGCTGCAGCTCAATACGTCTAACAATGGCGATGTCCGAGAATAGTTGGTACAGCTCATGGTTCATTCGACGGCGATATTCACCGTCAACGTAGATCGGCCCATAGATCTTTCGGAGAAATTTTCTTTCAAACACTCCAAGAGCTGCCTCATCTGCTTACGCAAGTACCCATGCTTCAGATCCATATAACAGCACGGGTAGTATCAGCGCCTTGTAAAGTGTGAGTTTAGTCTGGCGGGAGGTGGCCTTGATTCTGTACTGCTTACTTAGACCATAGTAGAGCATCTTTTGGCCATCACAATCCTTTTCCGAATTTCAAAACTGATGTCATTCGTTTTATTTATGGCCGTACCAAGGTATATAAAATCTTTAACTACCTCGAAGCTGTAGTTCTCAAGTTCCACAGTTGGTCCGAGTCTAGTGGACGTCTTACGTAACAAGGTATATAAAATCTTTAACTACCTCGAAGTTGTAGTTCTCAAGTTCTACAGTTGGTCCGAGTCTAGTGGACGTCTTGCGCGTTGATACCATCAGCATGGTCTTCTCGCCCACTTTGGCATACTCCTTCTCAATTTGTTCAAAGGTGGCTGTTACCGCTCGCAAATGTTCGACCCATTATATCGATGTCATCGGCGTGGGCGAGTATTGAAAAATATTGAAATTTGAAAATCTAATTTTGTTAATAATAACTTATCCCTAATACATATATCACCAAAATCTGGAAACTCTAATTTCACCAATGAGAGAATGTGGGCTTCGTATCTATATTCGAAATAAAAGACTCCGAATTTTGAAAATATCTCAACAGTACGAAATGGCAAGTTGCACACTGGAGTGCAATTTCTGTTCACCTTTGTGTCTCGTATGGCCTTTATCAGCAGGATGTTAAAAAGATCACAGGACAAACTATCACCTTGTCTGAATCCTCGTTTGGTATTGAAGGGCTCCGATAGGTCCTTTCCGACTTTAACTGCTGACCTCGGGCCACTTAAAGTTATCCTGCATAGCCGTATTACTTTTGCAGGAATGCCGAACGTAGACATGGCTTTAAACACCTCTGAATGGATAGGGCTGTCAAATCCTCGATGTCTAAATCCTCATTCGGTATTGAAGGGCTCCGATAGGTCCTTTCCGATTTTAACTGCTGACCTTGTGCCACTTAAAGTTATCCTGCATAGCCGTAAAGTTATCCTGCATAGCCGCTTTAAACACCTCTGAACGGATAGGGCTGTCGAATGCGGCTTTATCGTCGACAAATAGTTGGTATGTGTCGATGTGTTTTTCGTGGGTCTTTTTCAGGATTTGGCGCAGAATGAAAATCTGGTAAATGGTGGATTTGTCTGGTCTAAAGCCGCTTTGGTTCGGTCAAATAATGACATTGACCATTGGCTTCAATAGTTCACACAGCACACTGGATAGCACTTTATATGCGATGGGAAGAATACTAATTCCTCTATAGTTGGCAAAAATCGTCTTGTCTCCTTTTTTGTGCACGGGACACAGGATGCTGAGGTTCGTTCCAATCATTGGGCATGCATTCCTCTAACCAAATTGTACTAATCAGCTGGTGCATGCTCTTGACCAGCAACTGACCACCAGTCTTGAATAGTTCGGTTTGTAAACCATCGGCTCCTGCTGCTTTATTGTTCTTCATGCTATTGATTGCGATTCTGACCTCATCTTGGCTAGGTGGTATACACTCTATACCAACATCTCTTATTGGTTCTGGGGTATCCTCTTCACCGCCACTATTTGATACCAGAAGCTTTTCAAAATGCTCCTTCCAAATCCTCAACACGGTGTCTGTATCTGTCACCAGTTTGCCTTCTTCATCTCTACAGGAGGATGTGCCTGCACCAAAACCTTCGGTTTGATGTTTTACTCGTTGGTAAAATTTCCGGACTTCTTTCCGGACTCCTGTACATCTCGATTTGCTCACGCTCACGTTTTTCTTGTTCTTTGCTTCTTTTTTCTGAAAACACGTTTCTCCTCTCTCCTATCTCTCCCGATAATTCTCCATCACATTACGTGTTGCTACTATCTGCAGGGTTGCCCTATACGCTGCGTTTTTCATATCAGTAGCATTGCGACACTTCTGATCGTACCATGGATTTCTTGATGGTGGTTTTTGGTACCCAAGTTTTGCTTTTGCTGCAGTTTGTAGGGATTGGGCAAATCTTTGCCATTGTGCTTCTATATTATTATCGGAACAAAAAGTGCTTTCGTCAAGCAGGTGGGTAAGTTTAGCGGAGTAGGCCTCGGCTACTTGTTGTGTTTACAGCTTTTCGACGTCGAGTTTCCGTGTTACATTAGATCGCACCTTTGCTGCTGCATTAAGACGGATGCGTACCTTGACTGCCACAAGGTAATGGTTCGAATCGATATTCGATCAAACGTCTAAAACACTGGGTGAATGCCTTCCGTCTATCACAACATGATCGATTTGATTTCTCGTCGTTCGATCGGGAGAAATCCAAGTGGCCTTATGTATATCGAGATGCTTGAATCTGGTGCTGCTAACTACCATGTTTTTTGTTGCCGCCAAGTTAATCAACCTCATGCCGTTGTCGGATGTTTCTTCGTGGAGGCTGAATTTTCCCCAGGTCTCATTTATTTCTATAGAAAAAAATTCTCATGACCCCAGGTCTCAATTTTTTTCTATAGAAAAAAAATTCTCATGACCCCAGGTCTCAATTTTTTTCTATAGAAAAAAAATTCTCATGACCCCAGGTCTCAATTTTTTTCTATAGAAAAAATTCTCATGACCCCAGGTCTCAATTTATTTCTATAGAAAAAAAATTCTCATGACCCCTGATCTCAAATTGTTTCTATAGAAAAAAAATTCTCAATGCTCCAGGTCTCAATACCCCAGGACTAATTTTTTTTCTATAGAAAAAAATTCTCAAGACCCCAGGTCTCAATTTTTTTCTATAGAAAAAATTCTCAAGACCCCAGATCTTCCTTTTTTCTATAGAAAAAAATTCTCAATGCTTCAGGTCTAATTTTTTTCTATGGAAAAAAATTCTCATGACATCAGGTGTCAATTTTTTTCTATAGAAAAAAATTCTCAAGACCCCAGTTCTTCTTTTTTTTTATAGAAAAAAATTCTCAAGACCCCAGATCCTCTTTTTCTATAGAAAAAAATTCTCAAGACACCAGATCTTCTTTTATTCTACAGAAAAAAATTCTCAAGACCCCAGGTCTAATTTTTTTCTATAGAAAAAAGTTCTCAAGACCCAAGGTCTAATTTTTTTCTATAGAAAAAAGTTCTCAAGACCCCAGGTATCAATTTTTTTCTATAGAAAAAAATTTTCAATGCTCCAGGTCTCATTTTTTTCTATAGAAAAAAATCCTCAAGATCCCAGGTCTAATTTTTTTCTATAGAAAAAAATTCTCAAGGCCCCAGGTCACAATTTTGTTCTATAGAAAAAATTCTCAAGACCCCAGGTCACAATTTTTTTTCTATAGAAAAAATTCTCAAGACCCCAGATCTTTTGTTTTTCTATAGAAAAAAATCTCAATGCTCCAGGTCTCATTTTTTCTATAGAAAAAATTGAAACCTGGGGTCATGAGAAAAATAAAAAAAAAATTCTCAAGACCCCAGGTCTCAATTTTTTTCTCTAGAAAAAAATCTCAAAACCCCAGGTTTCAATTTTTTTCTCTAGAAAAAAAAATTCTCAAAACCTCAGGTCTCAATTTTTTTCTCCCAAAAAAAAAAAAAATTCTCAAAATCCCAGGTCTCAATTTTCTTCCAATTGAAAAAAAATTCTGAAGACCCCAGGTCTCATTATTTTGCCATAGAAAAAATCTGAAAAGCCTCAAAAAAAAAACAGCGTCATTAGATTCCTCGTTATCGACTACATTATTCTCGTTGTTATCGACATTGTGAAAACGCCTTGGGGCAGCGGGCATATGACCATGCCAGGGCAGCGGTCATATGCAGTTTATTCTCCTATTAACCATAATCCGCAGCCAAATTCTTGTCTCGTTTCATGGCAGCTTTTATACAGGGCGTAATCTTCTGATTTACTTACGCCAGTTCCTTTCAGGTCTCATTTTTTTCTGTAGAAAAAAATTCTCATGACCTCAGGTCTTACTATTATGCCATAGAAAAAAATCTGAAAAGAGTCAAAAAACAGCGTCATTAGATTCCTTGTTATCGACATTGTGAAAACACCATTATCGGATATTATGAACATGATCGAAACTGCATGTATCGACCTGTTCGAAACTTCATGTATCGACCTATTCGAAACTGCATATATCGACCTGTTCGAGACTGCATTTATCGACTTCAATAACAGCGTCTTCGTGCAGGCTGAATTGTCCGACAGTGGGACCAAAATATTTTCCCTACCGATTTTTTTCATTTAAATCTCTCCACGCTGAATTTTTTATGTCATGGCCAGGGCAGTGGTCATATGCAGTTTCTAGGCGATCGTAAAAAATATCTTTGGTCTGTTCATATTTGTCTTCCGCTGGAGCATGGGCGCAAATAAGACTGTTGTAGAAGAACTTCGCTTTTATACGGATTAAAGCAATTCGCTCATCTACTGGAGTGAATCTGGAGACGAGGTCTTTCATTCTCCTATTAACCATAAATCCGCAGCCAAATTCACGTCTCGTTTCATGGTAGCTATAATACAGGGCGTAATCATCTGATTTACTTACGCCTGTCCCTTTCCATCGCATTTCCTGTATGGCAATAATTTAGGCTTTGAATTTCTTGAGTACATTCGCCAAAGCGAACACTGCGCCTGTTCTGTATAACGTGCGCACATTGCAAGTGCAGATTCGCAGATCGTGGTCCTTTATACGTTTGGTTTTATTTTTCGTGGCTTTTTCATAGTCGGAGGGGTTTTCCGAGAGTGCACAAATAATCCGACGCCTCAACCCATTTTTTATAGTTCTTATGGGTGAACTGGCGGCACATATTTGCTCACTATTTCATCGGGTGATGAAAATCGCTACCCCAGGTGGTACCACGGGGAGGTCAGTGTCCACAATTGAGATGACAGAGGGACCAAGATAAGCCTGGACTTGGCTTCGAAAGAATAACTTTAAATGCAAATACGCCAAAATTTGTGTTATTATCCTTAAACCCCCTCCTTATTGTTTTTTTAATATATAAAATATTTTATAAATTTAAAAAAATGTTTCTTGTTAAATAATTTGAAAATAATAATAAGAAGAAGAACACAAATACTTATGCTCGTTGTCTTGTCTCTCTTTTTTATGTCTTTTATTCACACAAAACAACAACAACAACAACCTACAAAATAAAACGCCAATGAAAAAAAAAACACACACACACAACAAAAACTCAACAAAATTACAATAACAACAAATATATACACGTATTTGCTATATGTGTGTGTATATGTGTATGCGTGTGTGTTTGTCTATTGCTAAAAATCAAAAAATCCCAAATTTTTTATAAATAAAAAATCTATCATCTCCCTTTCACCCCGAATCATCAACATTCCCCTCCAACCAATTGGCAACCCTATGTTAATACCTGTGTGTGTGTGTGGCAACACCCCAAAGAAGTTACCTGCCAAATTAACATTAACCGAGGATTCCCGTGTATTAACAACCACCGCTGCCGCACCCACACCCTCGCCCTCCCCATCACCATCATCGGGTCCACCATCTGCACGTAGTACCCGTGCTAGCAAATGGGGTCGCCTTTTGGGTAGTTCAAGTGTCGATTCGGCTAGCGATACCAGCGCCAAGGTAGCAGTTTCGAGAAGTTTGAGTGCCCGCGAAAGTCTGCGTGAAAGCACTGCCGCTCAGGCGAGGCAGAGTAGTACTTCGAGTAGCAATGGTGGACAAGGCAATAAAGTAATTGACCAAAACTACAACAACAATAAAATAAGTTTTTTCTTTATTCATTTTTTTAAGTTCGGAATTTTTTGTTGCATTAAATTTTAGTTTAGAATTATTTCTTTATATATAAAAAAATATCAACGCTCGAGGCCTCATTTTTTCTATAAAAAAAATCTGAAAAGCCTCCAAAAATTTCATTGATTACCTCAAAAGCGTCATTAGGTTCCTTGTTATCGACTACCATGATATTCTTATCGACGCTTGTGGAAACATCCTTATCGGCTATTTCGAACTCGTCTTTATCTACATGATCGAAACTGCATTTATCGGCCTGTTCGAAACGGCATTTATCGAAGTTGTTTGAAGTTGCATTCACCGACTTCAATAGAAAAAAATCTCAAGACTTCAAGACTATAGAAAAAATTAGACCTGATATCTTGAGAATTTTTTTCTACTGAAAAAAATGAGACCTGTGGTCTCACGATTTTTTTTCTATAGAAAAAAAATTCATGAGACCTCAGGTCTCAATTTTTTCCTTTAGAAAAAAATTCGTGAGACCTCAGGTCTCAATTTTTTTCTATAGAAAAAAATTCGCAAGACCCCAGGTCTCAATTTTTTTCTATAGAAAAAAATTCGCAAGACCCCAGGTCTCAATTTTTTTCTATAGAAAAAAATTCGCAAGACCCCAGGTCTCAATTTTTTTCTATAGAAAAAAATTCGCAAGACCCCAGGTCTCAATTTTTTTCTATAGAAAAAAATTCGCAAGACCCCAGGTCTCAATTTTTTTCTATAGAAAAAAATTCGCAAGACCCCAGGTCTCAATTTTTTTCTAAAGAAAAAAATTCGCAAGACCCCAGGTCTCAATTTTTTTCTATAGAAAAAAATTCGCAAGACCCCAGGTCTCAATTTTTTTCTATAGAAAAAAATTCGCAAGACCCCAGGTCTCAATTTTTTTCTATAGAAAAAAATTCGCAAGACCCCAGGTCTCAATTTTTTTCTATAGAAAAAAATTCGCAAGACCCCTGGTCTCAAGAAAAAAATTCGTTTTTTTCTATAGAAAAAAATTCGCAAGACCCCAGGTCTCAATTTTTTTCTATAGAAAAAAATTCGCAAGACCCCAGGTCTCAATTTTTTTCTATAGAAAAAAATTCGCAAGACCCCAGGTCTCAATTTTTTTCTATAGAAAAAAATTCGCAAGACCCCAGGTCTCAATTTTTTTCTATAGAAAAAAATTCGTGAGACCCCAGGTCTCAATTTTTTTCTATAGAAAAAAATTCGTGAGACCCCAGGTCTCAATTTTTTTCTATAGAAAAAAATTTGCAAGACCCCAGGTCTCAATTTTTTTCTATAGAAAAAAATTCGCAAGACCCCAGGTCTCAATTTTTTTCTATAGAAAAAAATTCGCAAGACCCCAGGTCTCAATTTTTTTCTATAGAAAAAAATTCGCAAGACCCCAGGTCTCAATTTTTTTCTATAGAAAAAAAAATTCGCAAGACCACCAGGTCTCAATTTTTTTCTATAGAAAAAAAAATTCGCAAGACCACCAGGTCTCAATTTTTTTCTATAGAAAAAAATCGCAAGAACCCATGGCTCACTATTTTGCTGTAGAAGAAAGTTCTCAAGGCTTGAGATCTCACTATTTTGCTATAGAAAAAATTCTCAGCAACAAAAATTCTATAGAAAAAAAATTCTCAAGTCCCCAGGTCTCATTTTTTTTATAGAAAAAATCTGAAAAGCCTCTAAAATCAGCGTCATTACATTCCTCGTTATCGACAACCTTAATATCGTTGTTATCGACGATTGTGAAAACACTTTTATCGGCTAATACGAACTTGTCTTTATCGACTTGATCTTAACTGCATGTATCGACCTGTTCGAAACTGCATTTATCGACTTCAATAACAGCGTCTTAACGACAAAAAATTTAATTGTTTAATTTTAATTTAATTAATTTTAATTATTTTTTATTTTTTTTTATAGCAAAAATTCTATTCGAGCCCACTTCGAGGCTATCGGAGCAATAGTTAATTTCCTTTCTCTAGAAAAAAATTTACGAACCCCTATTTTCTCTTTTTTCGGATTGGAAAATAATTTCTTGGATTTATTTCTTATTTTTTTTTAATAAGATATTCGAAATGGCGCCCAACGTAAAATATTTTTTTTAATAATTTTAAATATTATTTTTTAAGCTAAATTTATGTTTTTTTTATATTTGTTTAATATCAATCGATTAAAATATAATTTTTTCAATATTTTTCAATACTACATAACCTAACATTTATCTCCGCAAAAAGAAAAAAATAAATCAAACACATTTTTTAAAATATTTTCCTTGTTACTTCTTTTCCCTGCCTGCCCTACGCACAAATTGGATTTTTTTCTGCCTCAACTCACTAAAAAAAAATAATAATTCTATTTAAAAAAATGTTTATAAACTGCTGTAAAAAATTGTACAAAAAAAACTCTGGAATGACACTTGAATGAATGCGCAAAAAATGGTTTGAAATCACACTACACATCAAACAACAACAACTCTGTGTGTGAATGCCTTTTGAACGCAAATCTACGGCAATTCTGAAACTCAAAAACCCTCAACATGAATCATTACCACCACAACTCTAAATGAATGTGAACGTGTGGAAAAACAACAACAATGAAATAAAAAAACAAATGCAACTCTGTGGCTGTCTCTGTCTAACTCTCTCTCTCTCTCCATTTCTATATCTCTCAACTGTGTAACTCTCTTTCTGTCTCTAACTATCTTTATCTCTCTTGAACAACCTCTAATTTTACTTACACTCTCTTTTTAATTTTCTCATATTTGTATTATTTTATACTCCTCTCTTAATCTCTTCCCCTTGCTCCATATATTTTTTTCACTTATCTCTTCCTCTCTTCTTCCTGGAACACTTCTCCTTGGTGTCCATTTTCCGCCTTCTTTGCTCTCTCTCTTTTTGCATCTCATTTCCAGGTATTCCCTAAGGCACCCAAACTGCAGGCAAGCCAAGCCACATTGGCCCGCCAGGACACCATCGATGAGGGCGGCGAAGTCGACTCATCACCGCCCAGCCGTGACAGTCGCGTCGTCATCGAGGGCAGCAGCGCTCCCACCACCACAACAACACTCAGCCTGGCCGCTATCACGGCTAAAGACCGCAATCTGGCGTTGGAACGTGAACGACAAATCGAAATGGCTTCATCGCGTGCCACCACCTCGGATACCTATGATACAGGTCTGCGAGAACAGCCTCCCACGTTGGCGCAACGTGATCTGATTGCCACCGTTTTGGATCTGAAAGTTGATGTACGCCTCGAATTACAGCGCATGCAACAGCGTATTGGTCGCATTGAGGACATGCTGGGGGAATTGGTGAAACGTTTGCAACAGCATGATTCCTCCGGCCAGACAACGCCTGCTGATGATAACGTGTGTGTATGCGGTAGTTCGACGGCAACCACAGCGGCCAGTGGCAGCAGCTCAGGGGGCTTAGTTGGTAGACGCCCTGAAGGTGGGGCGACACATTCCACCGCCACAACGCCAGCCGCCGATACGGTCATAACAATATCCACAGTTCCGCCGCCGCCGTCTTCGTCGTCCACCGCAACGGGCATCATCGGTGCGGCTGGCATCGTTGCCGGTAGTGGATTGGTGGTTGCGGGCGCCCCCTCCGCTTCGACAACAGCAGGTGCAGCTGCAACAGTAGTGATGCCAACTACCGTTGCAGCAACTAGCTCATCCAACCTGCTGCAGCCGGTACAAATGGTTACCACAACGGGTGGCAATGGTCTCGGACCTTTGATGCTTAAAAAGCGGCGTTCGAAGAGCAGAAAAGCACCGGCGCCTCCCAAGCAGACCCATTCGCAAGCCGCTGCCGCTAGTGCCGTTGTCCAGAGTCCTGAACAGCAGCGATTACTCGAAGAGGAGTTGCCCACAATGCAGCAGCAGCCGGTGGCTCCATCAACGGTGGCCACCACTGTTGTCGCCACAGCCTCAGGCAGTGCCGGCCAAGCTGGGACAACTACAGCCACCACCACAACCGGTGGTGGCCCAGCCAGCGGCTCAGCAGGTGTTGGTGGCCGTTCGAAACGTGAATTTCTCTAGCCCAAGATTTTAGTACGCCATCAGTCGGATAACAGCAGTTTCGAGCAATAATAATAAAACATCGCAAAGTAAGTCGAAGAAAAATGAATCCCCTAAAAGAAGCTGCGGGATTCAATCTCAAAATGCAATGAGTATAGACTTAATCAAAAAGCTTTTTTTCTATATCTAAAACAAACAAAAACAATATTTCTAAACTAGCTTTAAAGCTGTTGGCGTGCTATAGATCTTAAAACAAAATTTTAAGTTTTGGTTCGGAAGAAAAAAATTGTAAAAATCTATGTTTTTAAATTTAAAGAAATTAAAAAATGGTTTATTAGGTCTCAAGGCATTAGAGGAGGGGGCATCAGAGTGAAAGGATCCCAAATTAAATAAAAAAATATTTTTCGGAATTCCCAAAAGCGTCATTAGGAACATCCTTATCGACCATATCCATATCATTCTTACCTACAACTTTTACCAACCGGTATTATCGACCTATTTAAAAACGTTTTTATCTCAAAAAATGAAACGGCTTTTATCGACAATAAAAATCGGTTTAATCGACAGTTAATCATTGTTTTCTATAGGAAAAAAATCGGAGGCCTCAGCAAAGCATTTTCTCTATAGAAAAAAATTACAGGACTCGGAAACGCCTTTTTTGATAGAAAAAAATTCGGAGAGCTCAGTGAGGTCTTTTTTCAATAAAAAAAAACGTATGTCTAAGTGAAACATTTTTTTTATATAAAAAATACTTTGGTCCAGTAAGGTTTTTTTTCTATAGAAAAAAATCCGAGGCCTCATTGAGGCCTTTTTTATTGAGAAATAAATCGAAGGCCTCATTGAGGAAGTTTTCTCTCTAGAAAAAAATCAGAGGATTTAGAAATGCTTTTTTCTATAAGAAAAAAATTCAGAGGCCTCAGTGAGACATTTTTCCTCCATCGCAAGCTTCAGAGGAGGCTTTTATTCAATAGAAAAAATACGGAGACCTCATCACAAGCCTCACTGAGGTACTTTTTTGCTACTGCAATATGGAAGCCTCCGTGAGACTTTTTTCTATATTAAATAGGATCTTGAGGTTCTGTGAATTTTTTTCCTCGAGTAAAAAAGTTTTTTTTCCTAAATAAAAAATTCGGAGGCCTCAGTGAGGCTTTTTTATAGAAGAAAAAAAATATGAGGCCTCGGTATGGTATTCTTTCTATAGAAAAAATTAGGAGTCGCCTGAGGTTCAAAATAAAATTAGAAATCGAAGGCCTCAGTGAAGCATTTTTTTCATAAAAAATGCGGAGCTTCACGGGTTTTTTTTTTTTTGCTACAGCAATTTGGAAGCCTCCATGAGACTTTTTCTATATTAAATAGGATCCTAAGGGTTTGTGAATTTTTTGTTAGAGAAAAAAATAGTTTCATCTATGAAAAAATTCGGAAGCCTCAGTGAGGACTTTTCTTATAGAAAAATATCGGAGGCATTTTTTCTATAGAAAAACAAATCTGAGGCCTCTGAAAAAAGTTAGGAGTCACTTGTGAGGCTTTTGATCAATAGAAAATAAAAAAAAATCTTCAGAAAAAATACGGAGACCTCATGCCAAGCCTCAGTGAGGTATATTTTTGCTACAGCAAAAATAGAAAATTGGAAGCCTTCGTGCGACTTTTTCCTTTATGAAATGGGATCCTGAGGTTCCGTGAATTTTTTCTAAGAGTGAACAATAGTTTTTTCTATAGAAAAATATAGTGATACCTTTTTTCCCTACTGAAAAAATTCCGAGAACTCAAAAATTATCGACCTTCATGGTCCTATTTTTTCATAAAAAAAAAACTCTGCAAACTCAGCCTGCTATTTTTTTCCTACAGAACAACTGTCATTTACTCCTATCTCAGAGTCCCATTTTATCCCTACTCCAGTAGCGTCATCACGAACACCTTTATCGACCATTTTATTGTAATTATTACCGACGATTTTTCAAATACCTATTATCGACCAAATTCAACAGAGTCCAATTTTATGCCTACTCCAGTAGCGTCATTAAGAAACGGAGACCTCATGGAAGCCTCCATAAGGCTTTTGTCTATATTAACTAGGATCATGAGGATCTTATAGTAAAAAAAATAGTTTCTTCTGTAGATAAGAATCCACAGAATCCTCGGAGAGCCCTTTTTCTTACAGAAAAAAAATTGGATGCCTCAGTGATACCTTTTTCCCGAGACCTCAGTGAGGCTTAAAAAAATCGGAAGCCTCAGTGAAGAATTTTTTGCTGCAGCAAAAAAAATCGTGAATGAGTTTTTTAGTAAAAAATAGATTCTGCTGTAGAAAAAAATCCGCAGACCCTCAGGCTCTCTTACTTCCTAAAGATTAAAATTCGTAGGCCTCAGTGAGGCATTTTTTGTCTATGGAAAAAAATCGAAGGTCTTAGAGAGGTTTTTTTTATCAGAAATAGAATGCCAAGGGTCTGTGATTTTTTTTCTTATAGAGAAAAATAGGACACTGAGGGTCTGTGAATAGGACGCATATGGTATGTAAATGTTATTCTAAATTGTTTGCTTAGATGACAGTTCTCTTTTCTAAATCATAAAATTTGCATTGCGGATTCTTTCCTCCTCACCTTTAATGCTCCAAGGCCTTTGGAAAAAAAAACATATAAAATTTTATTTAGAAAAAAAAAAAAATAATTTTTTTTACAAAAAAATATTTTTTTAATAAAATTAAAATTACAAACAAAGCATATTGCTTATGAATTTTTGCTAATAATTTAGTATATGAAAAATTAATAAATAAAATACACAACAAACCCGCCCTATGAAATTTGCAAATATTACAACAACAAAAAATATCCAAATTAAAAAAAAACAATTCCTAGCCTTAAGTGCAGAAAAATTAAAACAAAAATTAGAAAAAATAATTTTAAATATTTTTATTTAAAAAAATTAATTAAAACAAATATATTTTTTATTTAAAAAAATTATTTTTTTTATTAAAAATTATTTTTTTTATTTAAAAAAATATATTTTTAATAAAAATAATTTTAAATATTTTTTATTTAAAAAATATAATATTTTTTTGATTAAAAAAAAATATTTTTTAATTTAAAAAAATAATTTTTTTAATATATTTTTTTAATTTAAAAAAAAACTATTTTTTTAATTTAAAAAAAATATTTTTTTAATTTAAAAAAAAAATAATTTTTTTATTTATTTTATTTAAAAAAAATAATTAAGTTAAAAAATTATTTTTATTTTATTTATTCCCCTCAAAAAAATTATGTGTGATATAAATATAAATAATTAAAAAAAATATTTTTTTTATTATTTTTTTTATTTCAAGACAAATGCTTTGTTTTTGTAGGACGGCTTACAAAAGTTTAAATAATAACCAAATAAACAAACTACAAACTCCGCCCTCCCTTCTCTATATATAAAAAAATAAATAAATAATAATAAAAATAATAAAAAACTTGCATAAAATCAAAAGAAAAAAAACTAAACTACTGTCTATAGACCAGGCCCTGAATAAGCATATATATATAAAAAAAAATATGGGAATTTTTTTGTCATATTTAAAAACAAAAAACCAACAACAACACTTTTTGCTAAAAATATTTTTGTCAAAAGAAAAAAAGAAATATATAAAAAAATAATAATAAACTGCCATTGAAAGAAAAAAAATATAATTTCAAAATAAATATTTGAAAAAAAATTAGAAAAAAATACAAAAAACTATCTTTCAAAAAAAAAATATTACACAGAAAATAAAAACTTTTGTTTGCGGCCCGTCCTTTTTTTCATTACAAAAAAAGCAACCAAATAATAAAAAAACCACATTAATAAAAATAAATTGAATACAAAAAAATAAACAACAACAAGCAATATAAATACCTAATAACATTAAATTAAAATTGAAAAAAAAAACAAAAAATAATTTAAGTAATTAAGTTTAAAAAAATATTTATTTAAAAAAAAATATTATTGTTATGTTGGGAAAAAAACTCAAACACAAACAAAAATAGACCTTAAACAAGAACAACAATAACAACAACTATTTTACAATAGCAACCAAACCCTTTAACCCCCCCACAACAAACATCCATAATGAAATGACAATCGTGTGTTGAAATTCACTTAGCAAAGAAAATTACAAAACAAAAAAAAAAAAAAAAATACTGCAACAACAACAAAAAATACTCTATTTAGTTTTGCAAAAATAAATTAATTTAGCTTAGTTGACTTTTTTTCAAAATAGTTAAATTAAGTTTAGAAAATTAAAAAAATAAATAAATTAATTAATTTCAATTTATTTTTATTAACACAAACAAAATATTTTAAAAAATTATTAAAAAAAAATTATTTAAAAAAATTAGGCAGCCCTAGGTTGGAGCTTAATTTTAAAATATTTATTATATAAATATTTTTAGTTATAATATAAAAATTTTTATTTATAAAATAAATATTTCTTTTTAACTTCTATAAAGGCAAAATAATTATTTTTTTTTTAATTTATTTTTATTTTATTTATTTATTTTATTTATTTATTTATTTTTTTTTTTGTAAAAAAATATTATTTAATAGCATATTAGCAAAAAATAGATTATGTAAAATGCAAAAAAAAAAAACACTAAAAAAAGGTTTCATTATAATTAAGCAGATTTAAGATTAGCAGCGCACTTATCCTAATTTAATTTTTCACAGTGTAATTTTATACACAAAAATATCTACAAAAAATAGATTTCAAATTTCTATCCTCTATGTAAAATGTTTAAGAGGCTCTTATTTTTTTATTTGAAAAAAATTGCTGAGCCTTTGTTTCCAAAAAATACATATGGAAAAAAATCCACTGAACCTTCAAGGTCCTATTTTTTCTATAGAAAAATCTCTGTAATTTTAGATCCCTATTTTTTCCTACACATTTCTCCCATTTACCCTTATCTCAGAGTCCCATTTTATACCTACTCTAGTAGCGTCATCACGAACGCCTTTATCGTCAATTTTATTGAACTTATTACCGACGACTTTTGAAATACCCATTATCGACCTTA